ATGTAGTACTTAGAATGTACGAAGCAGAATCAGTATGGAAAATATGTATTTTAAGTGTTAAATTTAGGGGAAAGATAAAAAGTTGTCATACTTCAATCAGTGTTTACAGGAGAAATATTGTATTAGAAAGAAAGGATAAATAGATGATTGAAAGAGAACAGACAAAAGATGCAAATATAATTATTTAAATTGAGATGAAATAAATAAAATAGAATTAAAAGAGTGAATAGGAGAGAGAAAATATATAGAAAATATAGAATGTTAAATAAGATATGAAATAGTATATTAAGTGAGCACGAATTTGATTTATGTCTGTACAAAAAGATTTAACCCAGGGTAAGCCGCTTTCCAAAAAGAAGTTTTATGTATTTATGCTTTGTGTAATGTTTGTCTATGTTTGAAAGGATGTGGAAGAGAACTAATGAAACTATATACAATGAATATATATAATTCAAGGCAAAAGAAATACAATTAATTAGAAGGAAAGGGAGCAATAAAGAGAAGTTGGGAAAAGAGATGAAGTTGATCAGATAAGATAAATGTACATATTAAATTGTGTTTGTATAGAAATGTGATAATTTGGAATTATTTTCTTTTTAAATAAGATGTTTTATTTGTTTTTTTAGAAAAGATATTTTATGTTACTACATCCTATGTTTTGTTTGTGTATTGTTTTTTTTAAAAAACTAATAAAACTTGTTTTAAAAAAAAAAGAATATTGGGAGTTATATGTCTATGGAGATTCTCAGTCGTCATGGTCATGGTTGTCCCAAAGATGTTTTTTCAAGGGGCAACTGGGCTTTCTGGTTTTTCTTTTCAGAGCTGAAGAAGCTTCTCGGATGAGAAGTGATGAATGTCTTCAAAGAAAAACCTGGAAGTCCAGTTGCTTCTTGAAAAAAGACTTTTGGGCTGAGTATTCTAGTTCAGCAACATCTTTCTTCCGTTTTACACCACACAACTCCCTCCACTGAGCACCTCACACTCACATTCACAAGTACCAAAGCATGCCAGTGTTAAGAAGGGCTGGATTTCTGGGGCTTTGCCAGTTGTCCAAGCCTTCCTTAGTTCCTGGTTGAATTCAGCTGACCTGTCCCTGGTTGCCCCCTCTCTGGGCAATCCTGGCTCCAGCATCCCTTCCTTCTATTCCTGAAGGAGAGATGAGCTAGAAAATTCCTATCATAAAAATGCTGGTCGCAGCCATAAAATACAGACCAAGAATTGTTCCGCCTAGTTCTGCCCTGGTCTACCTGCACCTCAAATTCCAGATTCAGAGAAGGACAAGTCGAATGATAAAGTCCTCCTGTTGCAGCCAAAAGTAGAGGTACCCCTCTTTTCCCCAAATAATCTCAATTTGCTGTGAAATTGGATGTAACTGATGCAAATAATTGGCCTTCACCATTAGCTGTAGCATAATCCATTGGGCAGACACTTCGCTTTTGAAGTACAGTTATTCTATTCTGTTCTGTTCTTATTCTATTCTCACTTCAGTCCTTCCTCGTATTAATTAAACAGATACTCATTTGGTCTTTTTAGCTGCCAGAAAAAGGGAGTGGGGGGAAACAAGGCATTCTTGAAATGTCTAGATAATCGGTTTTTGACATTCTCCCAAGTTGCTTTCAGCGTTGACATCCAATCAGTCAGGCTGCACTAGGTGCCTGATCAACCTAACCACGGTCCTGAAACTGGGGATCAGAGCGAAAAAGCTGACCGACCCGATCTGGCTTGAACAAGTAGATGGCTCCCTGTTGGGAGAAGCCTATGCCACTCACTTAACTGAACCAGTGAGACTAGAGCTAGTGGATCACTAGGAAACCGTTGGATTCGTAGTGGCTCCCAAAATGACAGACGGGGCTTTCCTGGCTAGACAAGTGGGGCCCATTATTTTGAACCACTGACGTCTATGGTACAGAAGATGCTGTGAAGCCTAAAATAACACTCTGGATTTAAAGATTAGTTTAAGCTAAATAAAGAGCTTACTGAGGACCTTTGCAATTGGTGTCTTTCTAGGAAATCAAGGATGACACAATCACAAGTCCAAGGAGATTTCTCTGTGACCTCAAATGGGGCTTATGATCCAAACCATCCAAGCATCCTGGATCGGCTGGCACTTGCCTTTTTTGACCCTGAAAAACACACAAGGCTACTGGCAACAGTGTCCTCTGGAACCCTTTGCTCAGCCCTCCCATTACTGCTGTTCCTTCTCCTTTTTTCTTTCCATTGCATTTTCCCAGAGAGAACATATGGTAGATTTCAGGGCCCCTTTCGGTGGCTGGCAGTTAAAAAGCTTCTGTTGAATGTTTTCACTCCCAGCAGCTGTGTGTACAAAACACAAGCCTGCCTTGCCAGAAAGTGGCATTTTGGATGCTTGGCAGAGAGGAGGAGGAGGAACTTGGCAGGAAGGGACAAACTGCCAAGGGGATTCTCTCCGTGCCCTCGCTACAGAGCTGGAGATCTATTGAAACTCAGGCAGCCCAGACTTCAGTGGCTTTTGTCGGCTTTAATCAGAACAGAACAGAAGGATTAGATAGGATAAACAGACTAGACATAGAATAGAATAGAATAGAATAGAATAGAATAGAATAGAATAGAATAGAATAGAATAGAATAGAATAGAACAGAATATGGAAGGGAAGGGGAGAGGAGAGGAGAAGAGAAGAGAATATGGGAGGGAATAAAATAGGAGAGAAGAAGAGAAAGAATAGAACAGAACAGAACAGAACAGAACTAGGAATAGAATAGAATAGATACGGAATGGAATAGAATATGGAATGGAATGGAATAGACACAAAATAGAACCTACCACAAAGAATAACCACGGAGTAGAATGAATAAACACAAAATAGACACAAAATAAAATAGACACAAAATGAATAGAACAGAACAGAATAATAAAATTGGAAGAAACCTGGGAGGTCTTCTATTCCAACCTGCTCAAACAGGGCACACCACACCATTTCAGACAGGTGGCTGTCCATTCTTTTCTTTAAAACCTCCAGTGATGAAGCACCCACAACTTCAGGTGGTAAGCTGTTCCACTGATGAATTGATCTCAGTGTTAGGAAGTTTCTCCTTAATTTCAAGTTGCTTTTCTCCTTGAATAGTTGCCACCCGCTGCTTCTTGTCTTGCCTTCTGGTGCTTTGAAAGTAAGTTTGACCCTCTCCTCTTTGTGGCAGCCCCTCAAATACTGGACACCGGACCCCAAAAATCAAAGACAGCCCCCCCCCACCCCGCCTCACCTTCAAGCGTGAAAAGAACAAGAATCGTCTCCGCGCAGGCGCACTCTGGCTCATTGAAAGGGAGGAGGGCGCCGATTGGTCGCTCTGGGGAAGGGCGCCGATTGGCAGGAGGACCCATTTGGGCGGTTCCTCCAGAGGAACAGGCGGCGC